CGGGGAGGCTGGCGGGACCCTGCCGGGGCAGCGGGAGCACCGTTAGAGCAAGGAACGGCGCACGGATGAGCCAAAGCCTGGGAGTTTGAGGGTGGGATCTGGGAGGGGGACGGGGACGTGCACGAGGTGCTGCCAGCTCTGTGGGTGTCCCCAAATCAATCCCAGCCCGTGGGTGTGCCCCAGCGCAGTGCCACCAGGGTGCTACTAACCCAGTGTCACGGGGGTGTCCCCAGTGCAGTGCCACCAGGGTGTCCCCAGTGCAGCGCCCCCGGGTTGCCCCTCATCCAGTGTCCCCCAGCTGCCCCTAACCCAGTGTCACTGGGGGTGTCCCCAGTCAGTGCCACCAGGGTACCTCTAACCCAGTGTCACCGGGGTGTCTGCAGCGCAGTGCCACTGGGCTGCCCCTAGCCCACTATCACTGGGGTGTCCCCAGCACAGTGCCACCGGGGTGCTCCAACCCAGAGTCACCGGGGTGTCCCCAGCACAGTGCCCCCAAGCTGCCCCAACCCAGTGTCACCAGGGTGTCCCCAGAGCAGTACCCACCAGCTGCCCCTAACCCAATGTCACCAGGGGGTGTCTGCAGCGCAGTGCCACTGGGCTGCCCCTAGCCCACTATCACTGGGGTGTCCCCAGCACAGTGCCACCGGGGTGCTCCAACCCAGAGTCACCGGGGTGTCCCCAGCACAGTGCCCCCAAGCTGCCCCAACCCAGTGTCACCAGGGTGTCCCCAGAGCAGTACCCACCAGCTGCCCCTAACCCAATGTCACCAGGGGTGTCCCCACTGCAGTGCCACCAGGGTGCCCCTAACCCAGTGCCACCGGGGTGTCCCCACCGCGGTGCCCCCCGGCTGCCCCTGACCTAGTGCCACCGGAGTGTCCCCACCGCGGTGCCCCCGGCTGCCTGTAACCCAGTGTCACCAGAGTGTCCCCAGCACAGTGCCCCCAAGCTGCCCCAACCCAGTGTCACCAGGGTGTCCCCAGAGCAGTACCCACCAGCTGCCCCTAACCCAATGTCACCAGGGTGTCCCCACTGCAGTGCCACCAGGGTGCCCCTAACCCAGTGCCACCGGGGTGTCCCCACCGCGGTGCCCCCCGGCTGCCTGTAACCCAGTGTCACCAGAGTGTCCCCAGCACAGTGCCCCCAAGCTGCCCCAACCCAGTGTCACCAGGGTGTCCCCAGAGCAGTACCCACCAGCTGCCCCTAACCCAATGTCACCAGGGTGTCCCCACTGCAGTGCCACCAGGGTGCCCCAACCCAGTGCCACCGGGGTGTCCCCACCGCGGTGCCCCCCGGCTGCCTGTAACCCAGTGTCACCAGAGTGTCCCCAGCACAGTGCCCCCAAGCTGCCCCAACCCAGTGTCACCAGGGTGTCCCCAGAGCAGTACCCACCAGCTGCCCCTAACCCAATGTCACCAGGGTGTCCCCACTGCAGTGCCACCAGGGTGCCCCAACCCAGTGCCACCGGGGTGTCCCCACCGCGGTGCCCCCCGGCTGCCTGTAACCCAGTGTCACCAGAGTGTCCCCAGCACAGTGCCCCCAAGCTGCCCCAACCCAGTGTCACCAGGGTGTCCCCAGAGCAGTACCCACCAGCTGCCCCTAACCCAATGTCACCAGGGTGTCCCCACTGCAGTGCCACCAGGGTGCCCCAACCCAGTGCCACCGGGGTGTCCCCACCGCGGTGCCCCCCGGCTGCCTGTAACCCAGTGTCACCAGAGTGTCCCCAGCACAGTGCCCCCAAGCTGCCCCAACCCAGTGTCACCAGGGTGTCCCCAGAGCAGTACCCACCAGCTGCCCCTAACCCAATGTCACCAGGGTGTCCCCACTGCAGTGCCACCAGGGTGCCCCAACCCAGTGCCACCGGGGTGTCCCCACCGCGGTGCCCCCCGGACCCTGGGGACCACAGCACTAGGGCTGTCCACCCCCGGGACCTTGCCCCGCTGTGTTCCCAGCCCTGGGGACTTCACCCCTCCCAGTATCCAGCCCTAGGGACTTCAACCCTCCCGGTGTCCAACCCTGGGGACCTCATCCCACTGGCAGTCCAACCCTGGGGACCACAGCACTAGGGCTGTCCACCCCCGGGACCTTGCCCCGCTGTGTTCCCAGCCCTGGGGACTTCACCCCTCCCAGTATCCAGCCCTAGGGACTTCAACCCTCCCGGTGTCCAACCCTGGGGACCTCATCCCACTGGCAGTCCAGCCCTGGGGACCACTGCACTAGGGGTGCCCACCGGCTGGACTTTGCCCCGCTGTGTTCCCAGCCCGGGGGACCTCACCCTTCCCAGTGTCCAACTCTGGGGACCTCACCCTGGTGGGTGTCCAGCCCTGGGGACCTCACCACTCCCAGTATCCAACCCTGGGGATCACAGCCCACTGAGTGTCCAACGCTGGAGACCTCAGCCCACTGGGAGTCCAACCCTGGAGACTACTACCCTAGGGGTGCCCACCTCTGGGGACCTCACCCCACATGGTAGCCAACCCTGGGGATCTCACCCCTCTTGGTACGCAACCCTGGGGGCCTTACCCCTCTGAGTGTCCAACTGTGGAGACCCCCATCCCACTCAGTGCCCAGCCCCAGGAACCTGCGCTCCAGCCTGCTGCCCACCTCAGTCCCCCCCAGACGCCACGCCGTGTCCTTGGTGGGACAATTCAGCACCAGCCCATCCCTGCCTGCCACCTCCTTATCCCTCTCCCACAGAGACCCTTGGGGACAGCGTGCTCCTGTCCCAACCGCACAGAGAGTGGGCTCTCAGTGTCCTCCGGAGCTTTGTCCCCAAAGTGGGAACCTCAGCAGCCCCCTGCCTGGGGAGGAGGCCACCATCTCCTTGCCCCTGTCAGGCTCAGGGATGCTGGAGGCTGCTCTGGCCCTGGGGATCCTGGGGCTCCCCAAGGACCTGCAGCCCCAAAGTTGACGGAGTGAGTGTGTCCGTATGCTCCCTTACCGTGCCCCTGGCCTGGCCTGCGTGGCTGCCCGCCTCAGCCCTGCGGGCATTGCCAGGACCCCCAGGACCTCCAGCCTTGTGTGCCTTGCCCCCCCTGACCCCCGTGCTCCTGTCCCTTCCCCAGCTGGAGGAGGAACAGCAGGGCCTGCAGAAGAAGCTGAAGGGCACGGAGGATGAGGTGGAGAAGTACTCTGAGTCCGTCAAGGAGGCACAGGAGAAGCTGGAACAGGCGGAGAAGAAAGCTACAGACGTACGTAGGCTCGCCAGCAACCCCTCCCCTGCGCGCGGGCCGGACCCGGGGGGGCCAAGGAAGAGGGGAGCCTTATATGGAAAGCATCTGCGGGGAAGACTGGCGGGATCCCATTCCTGGGACGCTGACACTGAACCGGGCTGAGCCGTGGCAGATGCAGGGCAGGGAGCAGCCCGGGGCCGGCTGCGCGTGGGGGGCGCGCGGGGGGTGCGACGGGCACCACTTTCACAGTCGGTGGTGCCTCCTGGCTTCGCCGCAGCTTCGTCGGCAGAGCGGAGCCACCGCCTGCCCGGCTCACGCTGCGCCCCGCCGCGCTGCCTGCGCCCCAGACCCAACGGGGACAAGCGTCCCGAGGTGGGTCACTGTTCCCTGGGTGCACATCTCCGGTACGGTTGTAGTAAAAGCTCCACAGCACTTGTTGGCCTGTTGCAGGGCAGCTGAAAGGAGCAGAGGATTAGAAGGAGCTCATGCCCACGGCCAGCTACCGGGGCGGCAGCGCGCACTGGTTGCGAGGAAGGATGCTTGGGGCACCTGGGGCCACCCTTTTGGGGGCCGCTGTGCAGCCTGGCACCCTGGGAAGGACACGGCCGGGGACGGTTTTATTTAGTGTTGTGACTGATGTTTCTCCTGAGAAATGGATCCCGCCGGGGAGATGTTAGGAAGGTGCTGAAAGTGGCTGGGGGCAGCGCAGGGTGAAGGGTGGAACAGCTGTGCGCGGCCTCGGCGAGCGGCGCGGGGTGTAACGACCTGCGGTGCCACACTGGGTATTTGACACCCTATAAATAAATCCTCCTTTTGGTAGCCAGTCCTTCTCTGATGAAAACCAACCCTGGAAACTGGAGGAGAAGCTGAAGGGGAGCCGTGTGGAGCGCGGCCAGCAGGGGCATGGGCCAGGCTTTTTAGGACTGAGAACCAAAAATTCGATCCCAGCTGGTTTAGGGAGCTAAATGGGGGAGATGCGTCAAATCTCCGAGGTGGCCGCCAAGGACAGGGGAGAGCAGACAAGGACGAGCAGCGGCAGCAGGATTTCCCGGGGCGACTGGTTCCTCCGGGACTTCAAAAGATGCAGAGAAGGGGCAGGGTGACCCCGGGGCGAGGAGGCACCCGGGGCCGGGCCCCAG